GACATAGGTTTAATTTCCTTATTCTATTAAGCATCTATCTAAGCAAATAATAAATTTGTCATGTGGCAATAACTTGCACAATGCTTTTGATGCCTACCATTGTCATTGTTCTTTAACTTTCTTGGGCTTAGGCAACTAATATTGTGTTCCCGGTACTGTATCTTACATTTTCAAAATTTCCTCATTTATCTTCATTTTATGCAGCAGCAACAACAAAACCCAAATCCCTATTACCATATTTTTATGGATTTTGTGGCCAATGGTCTCCTAAGTCAGAGATGAGTTATTATTACTAGTTAACATATATATCATGCTTACTACGTACCAGGCACTGTTCTAATTACTTTATATTATTCATTCATCTAACCCTCACAATCATCCTGTCAGGCAGATACTATTATTAATCGCCATCTGCAGATGGAGAATTGAGATTATGAGAGGTCAGATCACTTGCTCCCGGCAGGAGAGTCAAGGTTCACATCCAGCTGGTCTGGCTTGAGAGTCAGTGGTCTAGAATACTTTCTATTCAGCCTTCTAAATTACTTGTGTGAATAAGATTACAGCTGTGAGTATGAGATACAGTCAAGTGGTTAAAAAGTATAAAGCTTTAGAATCAGACAATCAGACTGCCTCCATATGAATCCCAGCTTCTCCACTTGCAAGCTTTAAGAACGTGGGCAAGTTACTTTGCCCCTCAGACCCCAGCATTTCCTTATCTATCAACTGAGAACAGCAGTGCCTACCTCATGGGTGAGGACTAAATGAGATGAGATGTGTAAAGAACTCAGATCCGCTTCCTACATGGTAGGTGTTCAACTCATGTTGGCTCATAAATAATAAGCAAGATAAGGGTCTGACAACAATGCCTCATTGTGAGATTCCAGTGTAAGACAGGCAAGATACTCGGTAGCTATTTGCTGTCCGTGCTAATGATTATAAAGCTTCTTTGACCTTTCATGCATAATGTATAGACAGCTTTAGTATTGTGTTTTGTTGTGTTGTCTAGCTTGAGAAAAGAGAGAAGGATTTGATACATGCTTTAATCCTCTAAAATGGATTTTTCAGGACCTTGATCAACTTTTACTGGTGTGGAGACATTTTGTTTGAAGTTCAGCTAAAGAGGAACATTTTTTACAGCCCAGAATGGAAGAATATCAGTATCTTTATTTCACTTGTATATTGATTGTACAATAACCTGTTTCAGGAAGAGGGTATTTCTTTCACTAAAAAGTGGGCCTGGGAATTCATGCTTGAGGAGGAAGCTAGAAAGACCCTGGTAATAGATCAGTCAGGACCCATCAAATTCTTTCTCTTCGTTGTCAGTTTCACTTTCTTCCTAGCAATTCGACACTCTTGTTGGAGAAGGAGGAGGCCAGATGAGTGGCGGCCAGAAGCAAAGAATAGCCATTGCTAGAGCCCTCGTCCGAAACCCAAAGATCCTGCTTTTGGACATGGCCACCTCGGCGCTGGACAATGAGAGCGAAGCCGTGGTGCAAGAAGCGCTGAGTGAGGTTGGTTGGAAGTCTGAGTTCCTTTTAAGGTCCGTGTGAAAATGTTTGAGCCTCTGGAGGAAAGGCAGCTGTGGAGAGGGAGAGAGAGGCAGAAGGAGAGACAGAGAAGGACTGCGTGGGTCAGTGCATCTGCCTGTTTAGAAAATACTGGCTGACCACGATGTTCCTCACAGTCGAATAGGAGATACTATGATTTGCTTCCAAAAGCTGCACATGTAAAATCTGACCTCTTACTAAGTCTGGCTTATAATACGTGATTTTTTGAAATTACCATTTTGGTCTTTAGCTGTTGATCAATAGCAGCAACCCAGACCAACACGTGATGGTGCTTATTGGCCATAAGGAAGTGTGCTGTCATTTCCTGATGTCTGCATAGCCTATAGAAGGGTTTTCCCAGGGGCCAAGGCTCTGCCTTCTTTGTGGATTCTGAGACTGTCCAGATAATGTCAGCTCTGTCTCACAGTCTCGTCTAACAGTGCACTGCACCTTCTTACAGATTCAGCACGGGCATACAATCATTTCTGTTGCTCATCGCCTCTCCACGGTTAGAGCTGCAGACATCATTATTGGTTTTGAACACGGTACAGCAGTGGAAAGAGGAACCCACGAAGAACTGTTAGAAAGGAAAGGCGTTTACTTCACTCTTATGACTTTGCAAAGTCAAGAAGATCAAGACTTTAATGAAAAAGACATAACGGGCAAGTGCCTTTTCCATTATGCTTGTACACTATATTTAATCATTAGCATTTATAGTGTTTTTTTGATTTCTATGCATTTTAATATACGGTGTCTTATTTGTTCTTCTCAAAGCCCTGGGAGACGTTGTATAGATGTTAAAGGAAAGAACGGAAGCTCAGGAGGTTTAGTTACTCATCAACTCAGAGAGCTAAATATAACCCAGGTCTTCTGTGGAAGAACCTCCAATTCCATCCCCATTTTTCCCTCACTGAGTGAATTGATCAACGACTGAAAAGTTTTATGCTTATTTTCACTAGCATGGATGGATACTTCAGGTCCTTGTGTGCCTTCTCTTTTTCAATCTGAATTTTCAGATTTGGTGGTTTACCCCAACATACGTTATAGCCAGTCATGCTCAACTTTCTCTACCATATCACATCTGGATTTGTGAACGCCACGGGGTAATATGACAGTATACATTAAACACATGTGATTTACTCTGAAAAGCTTTTTTTAAAATTTGGTGAGTCTACCTTTTTTTTTTTGCCACCTCTAGCAGGGCCTCTTACAAGTTTTTTTGTGATTTATATTGGCTCTAGTTCTAGGATATCTTTTTCTATGGTGATAATACATAGGCTATCCCACAGTTCAGAAGATTCAATCTTGCTGAGTATCTTGAAAATTTTTTGTTAGAATGTGCTGGACAAGTGCTGAGTTTTATTTATTGCAGTAAAGTGAATGGAATGTTTTAGACATAGTATCAGACATAGACATAGACATATCAGACATAGTAATGATACACTAGGCCAAAATGGGAAATAATTTTATTTTGATGTGGTTCTGTGTATCATACACACTAAGGAATCACTCGTGTTGTGTTGAACAGGAAAAGATGAAACTGAAGATGCCTTACTTGAGAGAAAACAGACCTTTAGCAGAGGGAGCTACCAGGCTAGCCTAAGGTAAGTGCAAGACATGAGCAGATTTTAAAGTTTTCCAGTGTTCTTAGGAGCCCTTCACAGCCATGGTCCTCGGGTGATGTCTCAGGTCCAGCAAGGGGAGCCCTTAAACACAGTCCCGGGGCTTGTGTAATATGAACATGCAAAAGAATCCTTGGCTGCTGTATTGACATTTCTGTCTCCAATCCATAGAGATTTCTTGTTTAAATTTCGCTTCTCATTTTATGGAGGATAGAGGTCATGGTAAAGACACTGAGTAGTGAAAATGTTTATTGAGCTTAGAAAGAGGATTTAAAAAAAAAAAATCTGTGTTTAGACTTGTCTCCCAAAGCTAACTGTAGCATGAAACACTGTCTTAAACGGAGGTCGAATTCATACCTTTAACGCCATTCTTTAATTCAGTTTCCACTCAATAGGTTACAAATATTTCTGCTCCCCAGGTTACCTATCCAAAGTCAAATCATTCTTTAACTAGTTGAAATAAGATGTGTTGTCTAATGTTTAAAGAGAATTTTCCTAAACATGAACTTTTTTTTTTCTGAATCAATATATGGGTATGCACTTCCAAAACATATTTTTAGAGTATGTTATTACAAGATTATAAATTTAGTTTTTCATTCTGGTTTAAGAATTTCAAAGAAATTAGTTCCTTTAAGAGTCTGTATATTAAGAAGAATTCTTCCCAGGAGTAATTGTACTTGTGAAAATGTTATTCAAGATCTTTTTTTCTTAAGGTGGGAAACTATTTGCAGGCAATAGGCTGACAGAATATTTCCCTACCATGGCCTACTATGCCTAGAACATTTAATTCAAGGCTGTGCTCTGAACAAAGGCTCAGTTTAGGACTTGCTCATTCAAGATAGCTAATTATCTATTGAGAAATGCTGAAAGAGGCTTAAAATATAATATTCAGGTAACAACTCCAAGTAGTTCAAACACAGATGTGTATACTTTTAATATTCAAAGAATAGTACACTGAGTTTATGCTTCTTTTTGAAAACAAGTCTGTTCAGAAAAAATTTCAAGAAATGCTAGTTTCATTGAATTTTTTTAATTTGGAAAGTAGTAAAGCAATAGCTTCAAGTTTCTCTGTAAAGTAAAAGCTATTACAAATTGCCAAAATTGTTAGGCAAATTTTATAGACACCTGGCATTATGTTTAACCAGGCTTTTCTGATTGGAAGAAAAAATATTAAGTTAAAAAGTTCATTAGAATCACAATCTGAAGATACCCACTAACTTCTTAACCATAGAGAATGACTAGGCAGCTCTTAATCACTAAGTTAAAGGTTGCAAAGAGATGTACCTCATGGTCATGTCAACAAGAAAATAAACATTTTCTTAATTTTTTAAATGAACAAAATTCTTCCCATTCTAAGTAGTTTACTTACAGTTTACTAGTAGGACCAGATAACCATTTTTAATACAAACATTTCCTATTTGGCTATTAGTTCTCACAAATTCTACATTTTGATGAGTAGCAGGAGAAACCCAGATATACAACCTATAAACAGAAAGTAGCTATTAACCTCCTGGAGAGAAAGATTTATAAGTTTGAGTAAGGTCTGTTAAAAATAAAAGATCTATTAGCAAACACAATAAGATATTTTTAAAGATGACTAACTAAAATGTTAATTTGTATCTTATTTCCTTGGCTTCAGTCCTTCTGATGGCTAAGTCCTTCTTTGCGTTCAAGAACAATTTAATGGATGAGAATAATTAACTTTCTAAATAATAATGTTGAGAGAGAGGGCATATATTCCCAAATTAGCTGCCTTTTTTGTGTGGTGAGAAGTGGTACGCAGCTTCTGAGGAAGTGGCAGGTGTTAGAGGTTTCTGAAAAACAGTGTGATAGAAATCTAACTCTGGTGTTTATGGTAGACCAGAGGGGACAGGTAGGGCACCTGCCTCGCATCCTTACTGTCCATGGTCTCATTAGGGCAGCTTATACTAGACAGGTAGAATGGTGTGGGGAACAGCAAAAGAGATTTAAGAAATAAAAGATTAAAGTAGGAGAAGTTTGAGGGGACAGGGATCTAGGTCTTCCATGCTCAGAGCTGGGAAGGAGGTAGTCAACTATATCTTGACACTCTCTCTTTCTCCACATACCCCTCCCTTGGCTTCAAATGCTCTGAATTTCTTTGTAAACCCCGTAACCTGAAGTCTCAGCCCCATCAGGCACTCTGCCCTCTCTAGCTGACACCTGCTTGTTCCTCACACCTTCAGGAGATGACATCTCGACCTTAGTTACCTAACTTAAAAAATGACTCTATTTCTATAGAGTTTCAGGCCATGTGGGAGGGAATTTGGGTGTCCCAGAGGTCAGTTTGGTAGCAGGGAGTCTAAGTGAGGTACGGTTCCATGCCTGATCGTGATGAGACTTGGCAACAGTTTGAATGAGGAAGAGCAAGAAAGAGGGAGAACTTGAGATAAATGCACCTGGTTGAACCTGAGTGACTAAGAGGATGGCAATGCTATCAACAGACCATGCAAGCAAATTAGAGTGAGGAAGCTGATGTGTCTTCTCAAGAAGGCTGGATGAGCACAGATCACTGGCAGGCACCACCTTGGTATTTATTTAAGTCTGACTTCACTTGGATGCAGATGATACAGAGAGACTTGTGAATGGCTCCTTCTGGATCACACTAACACAGCTGATGCAGTTCTCCTGCCTCTAACATCTCTCTTTACACTGTATTTCTTCGGACTACGTGCTTTGATAATGTAAAGTCCATTCTCTCAAGTCTTCAGGATTGCCTGTATCACTTAAGACTCTGCAAATGTCTAAAAACATAAGACAATCTGGTTTAATCTTTAAAAGGGAAAGAATAAGTTTACAAAACTAAATAGTCCAAGGATGCTTTAGCTTCAGACAAGGCTGGGGCTTCAATGATTTGTCCGGGATACATACCATTTCTCCCTCTTCCCTTCTCAGCTCTACTTTTTTTCAGTATTGTCTTCGTTTTTCAGGGAGCTTCTTTCCTTGGGGTCTTGGTGTAATTGACAGCCACTTCCAGTGTTACATGCTTTCGAGTTTAACCTAGAGGAGAATAGGCGTCTCCTTCCCAGACATCTCAGGGAAAAAACAAAACAACCCGAATCAATCACTTCCTGTATCTGCCGTATACTAAGTGTGTGTAACTGGTAACCCTGTCTCCATGCTCCTCCTTCTATTGTTCTTTCAATCAGCAGTGCTCTTCCCACTAGCCTACAGATACCCAGATCCTACCTTCACCATCTTCTCCATGAAGCCTTTCATGATAACATCTGACATACATTCCTTTTTCCTTTAAATTTCCGTACTCTTTATTTAAACCTGCCTTATAGCACTTACCACATTCTTCCTTGTATCAGGGTTGAGAACATGCATAGCTAAAAGATCTTAGTCTCCTTGAGGGAGAAATCTGTAATTGACCAGTCTTTGTATGCCCCACTGCACCTGGCGTTGGTTTCCATGTTGTAGGTGCACAATAAACTTCTGTTGAACGAATGAATGCACACATCAAGCTAAATTATATTTCAGTAAGTTATTTGTTAATTAAATCTATCCCTAGGGGCAGTACTTAGCCTGGAGAAAGTCTCATTAGGGTCCCTGTTTCCTCCTACTAGTCCATTTGTATCCAGTGGTATTATGCTAAAGCAAACAACAGGGACAGAGAAGGAAAGAGAGAGAGAAAGAGAGATATAAAAACTGCAACCTCCAGCCAGAAGGGAGGTAACGGTGATGGACCATTGCCATTATAGCAGTTAACAGAACCCTGTGAGTTTGGAATGGATTTGAGTCTTGAACCTTTTTTTTAGTGGACTTGTGGAACAACTTGGCCCTCCTTTTCTTACTCCTGCCTTGGGTATACTTTGAATCAGGGTTTAGCTTGGTGCCCACGTCAACCAAACTGATTAGCTTTGCCCTAAGAATAGCTCTATCAAACATAATCAGAAAACTCCCTTACCTGGTTACCATGTGACATAGCAAACATTTCTGTTCATTTCACGCAAGTGATGTAAACTTGGAACGAATTGAGTCCTGTTCCAACCTGCCCACAATCTGCAGACTAATTCACCTTTCTGTTTATTTACAGAGCTTCCATCCGGCAACGCTCCAAGTCTCAGCTTTCTTACCTGGGACATGAACCTCCGTTAGGCGTTGTAGATCATAAGTCTACTTATGAAGAAGACAAAAAGGTCAGGCACCAGTTGCTCATGGGGGAATGGAAGAAGTCTCTCTGGGAGACTACCGTATGCCCTTGAGTTTTCAAGGCCTTTGTCTAGTATTGTTTCACTAAGTCAAACTAAATGGGAGAAGCCTTTAGGACCTGATGAAAACTCTAAATTTTACATAATATTTTAAAGAAACACGAATTAATTAAATACTTTTAAGGGTGCATGGTGACTAAGACTGAACTAATTAAGGATTAATTTGATAGTTCTTAGATGAACCATTTTAATAAATATAGGCAAATTACATGTACTTAGCAATTATTTGATTATGTAGTTATCCTTTAAAAATTTTTAAGAATATCTGAAAACTTTTTTCAAAATTTTAATTTTTCTTAAAATCAACAGAACTATTTGATATACAGTTTACCACAAATTTTAAATTAACAGGAACTGATTAGGTTTCATGGACATTTGTTTATTTCCTACAATTTTATAATCATTGTTTTAGGGGCATTTAAAATTAACACTATTAATTCTAACATCATTCAAAACAACATAAACATGAAAGAGATAGAAGAAATCAACACATGTAACAATATAAAACTTTCTTCATCAGAATCCATTGCTGTTTTGGGCGCAGTCTAATTTTCACATAAGGTGACCATCCCTCCTCCTGAAAGCATTTCTTCATCACTGAACTTCATTTTCCACCCCTGACAGCCTCATTTTTGATTCCCCCATTACTCTTCATTTGAGTCTTCATGGCAGTTTTCTTATTGAGCCTTATTTCTGTTGTCTTATCCTATTTCTAAATTGTAAGCTGCTTAAAGTTCATGACTACATATTATTTGTGTTTGTATCAACTTGGGCACCTTGCTTTGCCCTAAGAATAGCTTTGTCAAACCTAGCTGGAAGCTACCTTCTCTGGTTACCATGTGACCTAGCAAACATTTCTGTTTATTTGACACATGAAAACTTAGAACCAGTTGAGTCCTGTTCCATCCTGCCCACAATCTACAGACTCTTCCATCTTTCTGTTTACTTACAGAGCTGCACCAGTAGGACATCAAGAGATTTTAACACTAGGATGAAAAATTGAATTTTCACAATAATATAAAGCCCAAACCACAAGATTTATTGAAGCAAATGAGTCAGAGAATATTTTAATTACAAGCACATCCATTATGCATAATGTCATTTCAAATTGTCTTTAAAAACTTTCAGAATGAGAATCCATTTTGGAAGTAATTAGAAACATTGATTCGCAATGCCAAACTTGGAATAAAGTACTGCTTATGATCTTATGACTATGATAGAAGGATTTTTAAGGTTCTCTTTTGGTTTTAATATATTAATAATAAATAGAAGTCTCAATATCTAGTAGAGTTGGTTTAAATAAATTTAATAGAAGAACACTGTCTCAGAAGCAGCAGGATGAAGGCAGTGAGAGAAAACATATTTAGCAGGCATGATTGCTTATGCATCTTGCCCTTAAGTACTTAACCCTGCTTCTTCCAAGCAGTCTAGAAATAGATACTTCATTTGCGTCCATGGTGTTGCCACTCATATCTACAAGATGCATTATGGAAGGGGTTTAGTAAGCTTCAAGGAGAAAGAATCAAACATAACAGCACCAATCATATTCAATTTTGCATTTTAATTTTTTCCCTTAGTTTCTGGGTAGATATTTGATGACTAAAGCAAGAGAGTGAGAAAGGAAGGAAAAGTAAATCTGATTTTGTTGTTATTATTGAAGCTGGTAAATGTCTCAGCATAGTTGACAGTCAGATTCCCTAGAGATCAGGTTTCCAGTGTTCTTATGAGGCAGGGAAAACCTCAGAAGGGAGTTATTGAAATAAAAGGAAACCTAAATCAAATATAGAGATTAATTTTAGAGACATAAAAGTGTTCCATATAATATTCTACTTATCAGCATTGTCAATTAGAATGGAACAATTAAACTCAATTAAATGTAAACAAGTGTAATTTTAAAATTTTGAGACTTTAATTTGACTTTTTAATTTTAAAAAGATGGCACTTTATATTTTGTCTCTAATTAAGAGAGGAAAAGAAGAAAGGGCAAAATTCACAGGGAAGCCAATGTGGTTTTGCTAAAGTTCTAAGAAAAAAAGATCGTATGCTTATATTACTACTGCTCATTTGTATGATAATTATATTAGTCTTTTGATTTAAAAATTAAGTATCTTTAAAAGAGAAAACAGAATCAGGGTTAGTAAATTTAATTTATAGACTTTCTAATCCAAGTAAATTTTAAAGTATTTTAAACATTTGGGTTATTCTAATCCCAAGTACAATTTAATGTATTTTAATAGTTAACTAAGTTCTGCAAGATCAAGCATTGGCAAAATCTTTTTTTTTTCTCCTCATTTTGATGAAGTTCTAACCTTACCTTCTGTTAATTGGGAGATGTTTTATCTTGTGTTGCAATGCAAAAGGCTTACTTACATAAAGGAGTTATGTCCACCTTGTGGTCTCTTGAAGTTTCAACTCTGAAAACTTAGAAGAGAGGGTTTCAAAAGTCGGTGCTTCTGAACTCAAAGTGGGGCATCTGAAATCTCATCTCATATTTAGCTGGTGACAAAGTTAAGACTACAGCCTGTTTTTTCTTGCTTTCCAAGCTATGCTCTTGGCTCTCATAAATGGAGTCAGATCGTAGTTCTAATGCTGATAAAATTAAGTTTAGGATTAGGGGAAACCTGCAAGCTAGAGGTTCCAGCCTCTGATATCTAGGCATCTCTTTTAGGGAAACTAAAAAACAACATAGATTATATATGAGATCGAGTCAAGGTCAAATATTGGAAACCCATCACTTCATCTCAGCTAACAGATCTTACGGATAGGGTTTAAACATTGGTTAAGAGATAGGACAGAGACAGGATCTATAAAGATGACTATCGGTGCTTGATCATTTGGAGTTCCTGCTTCTTGGTCATAGTTACTGTTTTTTATCATCATATCTGAAAGTCATGCTTAAGGCAGGAGACCCCTATGGATTGGCACAAAGAAATCAGTGTAACAAAGTATAGAAATCAGGACTTAAGACTTAAGTTGAAAGTTTTATTTTCACCTGATCTATGCAAGGAGATGGAAGGAAGAAAGGAAACTGGAAAAAGCCCAGTGTCTAGCATTGAACCAGTATATTTTTTCAGTAAATGTTTTGCTGCATATATGCACCGTGGGCATAAAAGCCTCATTCATTCTTTCATCCAGTAAACATTGATTGCACACCTGCCACGTGCCAGGTATTGTGTTAAGGATGCAAAGAAGAACAGGAGCCACTGTCTTCCCTGCACTGGAGCTGCCAGAGGGAAATTTCTTTACGTGTGATGAACACATGAGCACCGTGCAACTTGACATTGCCACAGTAGAGTCACGAACTCTGCAGTGAGGAAGCGTATATAAACTTTTATAATCTTTTCTCTCTCTCTGTGAGTTACTGATTTGCTGTGAATTTATTATTATTATGTAATCTTTAGCTTTATAGCTTTTTTTGGTAAGTAAATTTGTCTTTAGCTTTGTAAAATCCCAGAGGGAAAAACTCTTCTGTACATAATGACTTTAATTGTATTTTGTTTTATTATTCTATTTTTTAGCAGTATCACATAAAAGTCAATCAAAGGTCAGTTACTCAGGAATAGATTTCCTAGTTTCTGCATCATTCAGTCTTGATAGCTGCATCTTTGGGGAGGTTGGGGGATAGTTTCCTTTAAAGTCAAACTTTCAGTGAAAAGGGACAAAAGAAAATTATTCAAAATAAATTTTGCTTCTTGTTAGTTTATCTTGGAATGATAACTGCTGGATGAAAGGTACTTTATATTGTTTTTAAATGTCTTCGGTTTTGCTGTTACAGTTTAGGGAACCCTTCAGGTATCAGAAGACCAGGGAAACTTCTATCATGTCAGGCTGAGGATGAACCATCCGTGGGGCTGTGGTTCTAGGACATGTTGGAGTTTAATGTCCTAGATGGTATAGCACAGCTGACACTTTCAAAACATACAAACATGGAATCCAAGACATTTAGTTCTGGAAGGGATTTTGGAGATTGTATACTGCTGAGGAGCTCACAACTAGGCTTTGTCACCAGAATTACCTGAGGAGTATTTTGTAAAACACAGATTCACATTCGGCTTATGAAATTAGAATTTCTGCTGCAGGGACCCAGGTATCCGTGTTTTTAATCATCAGCCCATGTAAGCCTGGTATATATCCAGATGTGGACACCAAGAACTGCCTAAAACTGTAGAGGATCTGATATTTTGCTCGATCGCAAGCTATCAAGTTAATCTAACACAATTTCATGGATGCTGGCAGAATACAAAAGAGCCCTGTGTCAATACAAAAGAGCTTATCACTCATAGCCAGAGCAGGAGCCAGAGGACAGTATTTGCACTAGTTCCTCAGTGCAACCCTGCTTCTTGTAGGTTGATGCAAAGAGAGCCAGCTGATACCAGCAAATAAAGTAGGGGCAGGTTGTTACAGGGGAGGAATCCTGGGCTTGGAGAACCTGACATGTTTATAATGGGCAGTAAGACCATCTGTCTTTTTCTTGGGTTGGAGACACTCTCTCTGTCCTCCAAGGCTATATGCTATACAAGCATCCTTGAAAAAATAGCCTAAACACAGGTTGTCAATGCCTCTTGTCACAAGATGTACAGAAATGTAAGAGACCCATAAAGAATTGTCTCCCCCAAACAACTTAGTCCAACTCTCCCATTTTCAGAATGAGGTAACTGTACCCCCAGAGAGCTATGGTGCTTGGTGATGTATTCCACTGATGGCCACATGGGGCTCATCCAAGAACCCTGTTCTTTCTACACCTGTTTCACTCATGCTTTCCCAAGCATCCTTCTTCCTCTCTGCATTGATTTCCTAGAGTTGAGTAAGCTGTCAGAGGTGAAATCGTTGAACAGAAGACTTGCTGCATGAATGAGTAGTAATCACAAGTGCAACTGTTGAGGGCAGGCCAAGAGAGAACTTGAAATGGACAGATCTGTCACCAGTTTAGTTGCCATTCTTCATCCTATTTGGCTTGCAGCTCTGATGACATGGACACTAGGCTTTTATTTAAATTGAATTGGTAATGTAGTCTTTGACTTTGGAAGCAAAAGGAAAGTATATGGAGTTCTTTTCTGCCATCTGCTCCTGACATTCAGCTCCCGAAAGGGTAAATTACTGTCTGTTAATGGAAGAGAGTGCTAATAGTTTTGGAGTCAACTTGCTGTAGACATTTTTAGTGTATTTTAATAGAAAAAGTTTTAAAAAATCAATACAAATCTATATATGCGCCCTAAAATCCTTTTTCAAATTAAGTGGGTAATAAATGTAACAAATTATTGAATAATGGTCCTAAAAACCAAGCACTTAATAATAGCTGCAGCAGGGAAAAAGATGGCAAAAATGATGAGATTCTGAATATAGTATTTGCCTTCAAGAGGATAAAAATGTGCCAGCCCTGACACTTTAATGACAACTAAAATGATCAGAATAGGGAAATTTTCAACTAATTTTTAGTCCTTGTGAAGAAAATGCAGAACTTAGAAGTCCAAATAGATTACCACTTATTTCTGGGCACTCATTAAAGTAAACCTTGCAGAAAATATGCAATTGTTAAACTGTTGACACCATTTAATGCATTTTTAAAATTATTTTGCCTTGTTTCGGTGCACTGGCCTGCCTTTGAACTTTGGTTTTTACTGAATTATAGAGCTTGGACATTTGTAAAGGACCTAACTTGCAAACTTCACAAGTCCTCAAATATGCAAATGCCACTGTAGCACAAAACCTTTTTTTAATTGGGGGTTTATTTTTCTTACAAATCCAGCATATCTGTTACTCCCCAAGAGTTAATACATATGCGGCTGTGAAATGAGAACCATAAACTCACCTTCATGAACAGACACTCTGGGAGCAGATCCATCCGAGTCGCAGCTTGGTCTCCAGCCCTTCAGAACCATTTCTTACAATTATAGCAAAATCTCTGCATTTCACAGATCTTTGAGGTTGCTCATAAGCAATCAAACCATGACTCAGATCTGTAGATGACAAAGGGTCTGCTGTATAACAAAAGAGTAGATGCAAAAACTTAGGTAATTAATGTAACCCCCTCTCCCCTCAAGGACAAGAACATTCCTGTGGAAGAAGACATTGAGCCTGCTCCAGTTAGGAGGATTCTGAAAATCAATGCTCCGGAATGGCCCTACATGCTGGTAGGGTCGGTGGGTGCCGCTGTCAACGGGACGGTCACACCTTTCTATGCCTTTTTATTTAGCCAGATTCTTGGGGTAAGCAAACAGCTGGACCAGCTTTGTTCTTCTCACACCTTTTGTTTGTCCATCAGTGGATTTTGTCATTTTTGATAGGTCAGCTTTTGGTGGTAATGTTTTTAAGCTCTTTTTTCCCCTCATCTCTAAAGGATTAAAAATACCTCTAGTCCCCATCACACAGGTATTAAGAAGGTGAAGCTGAGTCTCATTTGGGCTGGCAGTTTGGGGTTTGGGGGGATTTGTATAGTGATTTTTAAAGCCAAACTGAGATAAATTTTTAAATCCCTGTATTTGTAGACTGTAAACTTACGTGAGTTATTCGATGCTGGGATGAATACTGTGGTGTCTTCTGAACCCACTTCATTCATTAAGAATGAATGTATTCTTTATTATTAAGAACCACAAAGGCCCTAGAAACTCTTTGTCCTAGAAACAGTATATCTCATTTATTTAGAACCTTTCTCCCACCCCTTTGGAATTTGTGATGATTTCAACAGGTTACTTCTGCTTTATAGAAAAAGATTTGTTCATGGAAAAGTCTACATTGTTTTCAGGAGATTTATTTGGCATCTAGCAGGCACTCGATAAATATTTGTTGAATAAATGGTTTCCTTTGAGCAACTGCTTGCTGGCATGGTTCTAGTTACACATTAATGCAGAGCAATAAATAAGGATTTATTGTGCAGCTCTCTAATGAATACTTTTTCTGAACTCTCACAGTGCCCTCACTTAGTCTGAATTAGCAAGGTTTTGTTGTACCTAAAATCTACCTCAGCATCAGATGATGTCAGTGGGATACATAGCTGTTCTCTCCATTTTCTTATTGCAGCAGCTTGGTCCCCATTCGGTTACTTGAGCACATCCCTGTAAGTTCATAATATACTTAGGAGTATAGTTTACCACTTATTACAGACTGAAAAAAAAACCATTCACAGTTTCCATAGTTTTTTGAGGGAAATGTTTTCAGCTTCTGGTGTTTTAGAGGCAACAACTTCAGCCTCAGATGGATGGAAGCTTTTCTCTCCTAAGCCAATTCCAGTCAGTGTCTTGATAGCTAGTTGATTTTTAAATGATGCTATTATTTGTATATCTATAATTTATGAAACTAATAATAGGTAAGGTGCCTGAGTGGGAAAACCATCTTTATAGCATCTATTATTTGGAAAAAAACATAGGTCATGATAGTACTTTGGGTTTTGTCCCAGAATAACATTCTCAGATACTCTAGTATCTTCCTTCCTGCCTTCCTGCCTTCCTTTTCTCCTTGCCTTATTATGTAAATAACTTGAGGCATTTCATCATATTTTTCATCTGTATCAAAGAAAAGCCAACACAATTGCCTACATCAGGCAAAGAAGACAAAAAATTCTGTAAATCATAACCAAATTGTTTTCATTCACCCACCTTCCTTTCCCACAGAGAATTAAAATACACATAATCATAGTTAACTTTGGTTTAATTGCTGGTATGTTTAAAGTGAAACCCTTTTTTAAAGAGAAATTTCTTTTAAACATATTTGAATGGATTTCTTTTGCTATTATTTGTAATAATACAGTTACTTCCTTATTTACTATTTCGCAAAGACTTTTTCAATTCCTGACAAAGAAGAACAGAGGTCCCAGATCTATGGTGTGTGCCTGCTCTTTGTAGCAATAGGCTGTGTATCTCTTTGCACTCAGTTTCTACAGGTAAGGAATTTTATTTTTCAGTAAGTGATTTAGCTATTTCCCCTCCCTTTTGTGTTAAAATATCACTAAAGACTCCTTTATGTTTTAGGGATATGCTTTTGCTAAATCTGGGGAACTCCTCACGAAAAGGCTACGTAAACTGGGTTTCAGAGCAATGTTAGGGCAAGACATTGGCTGGTTTGATGACCTCAGAAATAGCCCTGGAGCGCTGACAACAAGGCTTGCTACAGATGCTTCCCAAGTTCAAGGGGTAAGCTGGTGGGGGGGAACCAGGGGTGTAGTAACTGGAATACTTTCCTTTGTGTATTCTGATAATCATGTAGGTGCTTCCCACAGAATAGGAATTCAAGGGATTGGGATACCCAGAGCCACATTTTTACCCATTTCCAAAGCTGACAAACAACAGCTAAATCAGCGTCTCCTAGGTAGTGCCTAGAATCAGTGTTAAGGCATCAGTCAAAATCCGTCAGGGTTCTGGATTTCCTCTGAGTCTAGCAATTAAGAAGAACTTTCCCAGGCTACTTTCTCAGATCATTTTTAGCCCCGGAGGCTCAGATTCCTCAAGATTTAGTAGCACCCCCTGGAGGATGGAAGCAAAGAATGTGTGGAGAAAAGCCCTTTTCGCAAGTGCCCAGGGTGTAGTCAGTCTTAGGAAACGAGAAGCTGTTCTGAGCAGTCCAGCCCAGAACCTGAAGGAAGACGTAAAGGATTGCTACCTAGAATCTTGACGCATTCAAAGGGCTGCCTTTCTGACCAAGGGAGACTAAGCTGTGGTTTCTAAGGCCCAGAACTGCAGCCTTGTTCAGGGGACTTAAACACGTGTATAAGATGAGGCTACACCTTTAAAAAACCAGAGATTTGGGTTAAAGTAATGAAAGTTCAATTTGCCTCCCCAAACCTCTACTCATTTTCTATAAAAATAAGAAAAAGAGGAAAAAGAAAAGTCATGGTTTGTCTGTGAGGCTCTTGGAAGAAAAAATTCATTGGATTGATGGTACTGTACCATGTATCTCAAGTTCTACCAGTTCAACCAACAATGTGGACAATGATAGGGGAGAATTTCAAAAGAACATGAACTCCTCTTACTGAAGGAAACATTCCTATAAATATTTCATCTTGATCATTCTAGGCTTTTTCTACATACACATGTATTTCCCACAAATTGTGGGTCACACTCTACATATTATTTTGTAATCTTTCGTTTTTCCCCTGAAACAATCTGATGTGAGCATATTTTGGTTCTTATATATTCTTCTATAGCAAACTTTTAAAAAACTTATTTATTGGAGTGTAGGGAGTTACAGTGTATCAATTTCTGGTATACAGCATAATGTCCCAGTCATGCATATGTATAGTTATTTTCATTTTCATGTTATTTTTCATTAAAGGTTATACAAGATATTGAATATAGTTCCCTGTGCTATACAGAAAAAAATAGTTTTTTAATCTTTTTTTATATATAGTGGTTAACATTTGCAAATCTCAATCATCTGTACTCATGTTTCTCTTCAGATTGTATAAATCTTTCGCCTTTTACAGAGAAAACTTTTAATGGCTGCATAATTCATTATTTTAATGTATCATCATTTGTTAAAGAATTCCTCATTTAGATTTTTTCCCCTGTTCCCCCCATTAGCAATTTATATCATTTTACATCAAGCATGGCTTATCCTTGATTAATTTTTCACTCTCAAAATGTAATCACAGGATCAAAATGTATAATTATTTTGAAAGGTTTTAATATGCATTGTCTTACTGCTTAAAGAAAGTTTGTACCAAATTTACTCTCATTATCCGAGTATTCTAGTGTCTGATTCACCTTACTCTCGACTTTAGATTAAAAAAATAAACTATAATCTCATTTCTTCTATTTTTACATCCTTCAATCTGCAAAGAGCTTTTTATTGGTTGTTTATTATGACTGGAATTAATCTCACACTGACTGCTCTAGCTATGACACCCATTAAATGAGATTAGTCCATAGATGAGCTCCCAAGAATCTGTGAATACAATAGACTTTTATTAATCCAGCCTTCAAATGCATTAGGGGAGTTCATTATTTAAAAGATCCTCCCGTGGTAAACATAAAACTAGCATATGAGCTAGGCTTTTTCTAATTCCACTCCTAGGTGTATGTCCAAAAGAATTGAAAGCAGGGACACAGACAGATACTTGTACACCCATATTCATAGCACCTTTATTCACTATAGCCAAAAGGTGGAGACAACTGAAGTGTTCATCAACAGTGTTTATTTTGGATAAACAAAATATGGTATATACACACAATGGAATATTATTCAGCTTTAACAGAAGTTAAATTCTGGTACCTGCTGTAACATGGATGGACTTTGAAAATATTATACTTAGCAGAATAAGCTAGACACAGAGGGATAAATATTGTATGATTCCGTTTATACGTGGTACCTAGAATAGGCAAATTCATAGAGACAGAAATAGAATGGAAGTTAACAGGTACTGGGGAGAGGGAGGAAGGGGCGTGTTATTTAATAGGTAAAGAGTTTTTGTTAAGGATGGTGAAAAAGTTTTGGGAATAAATGTGGTAATGGTCATACAACACTGCAAATGCATTTAATGCCGCTGAATTGTATGCTTACGAATGACTAAAATGATAAACATCATGTTATGTATATTGTATCATAATAATTTTTAAAAACCTATCTTTTGCTGTAAAATAGCCTTTTCACATAATGATATTTAGTCAGAGACCGTCTGTCTGAGATTGGGTGATTGCTTTTGGTTTGCAGGCTACCGGCTCTCAAATCGGGATGATGGTGAATTCTTTCACTAACATCACTGTGGCCATGATCATTGCCTTCTTCTTTAGCTGGAAGCTAAGCCTGGTCATAGTGTGCTTCTTCCCCTTCTTGGCTTTATCGGGAGCTGTACAGACCAGAATGCTGATGGGATTTGCCACTCATGACAAGGAGGCTCTAGAGGTCGCAGGACAGGTAATCTCACAGACCCAGTTTTCAGACTGCTTAAGGCTGAGTGGCTGTCAGACTGCTGAGAATGAGGAGTGCAAACAGACTTAAAGAAGCTGTTAGCCAACAAACATTCATGGTTAGAGACCTCCCATTAGCCTTTTTCACATATGCCTCTGATGCTGTGAGACTGAGTAGCTGCGGAGAAATAGAGGGGCAAATACAGAGGGTTACATGTTTTCAGTTTCCTCTCAAGCAGTTATTTTTTTCCACATCCCATTTTGGTGTAGTATTCTCATTTGCAAGAGAGGATAGTTCTCTTTCCTCTATGTTTGTTTTGTTTTGCTGGTTTGTTTTCAGCTTAACGATTTCTCCAGGTCATGTTGCCCACACAGAGAGGAGTTATCAATTTTTTCATGGCACACACTTTTAAGTTTCACACTTTAGTGTCTGCTAGACTTGGGGCAAACATATTTCCCAAAGACAACCAAGAGATACATGCAGTGTAGGTCTCGAATACACTTAGGGTTTAGCTATGCACTTTGAACAGATGTCCTAATTAATATCTGGTTATCAGGAGTAAATGAAGAGATGGTGGTATAGACATTTACCAGGGATAGGAAATCACACACACACATATACATACCTTCACCTTTTAACAAATTTACTATAAACTAGGTTTTGTCTCTTTAAAGAGAGAATCTGAACACTGCCCAAGTAGGAAGAAGCCACAGGATTTCACCTGTCAATGGCGGAGAGTAGCCAAGTTTTGTACCTTTTTTAGGATAGGACCCTAATTCAGGAACAGTGATTATTTACCCATGGATTGAAATGAATACAAAGTTATAGTATCAACTAAAAGATAAACTTTATACTTAACTTTAATTTATTTTACCTAATATTTGATCAGATTAATTTTTTTAAATGAAGTACAGTCAGTTACAGTGTGTCGATTTCTGATGTACAGCACAATGTCCCAGTCAAGCATATACATACATATATTTGTTCTCATATTCTTTTTCATTAAAGGTTATTACAAGATATTGAATATAGTTTTCTGTACTATACAGAAGAAACTTGTTTTTTTAATCTGTTTTTATATGTAGTGGCTAACATTGGCAATCTCAAACTCCCAAATTTGTCCCTTCCCACCCTCTTTCCCCTGGTAACAATAAGATTGTTTACTATGCAGATTAATTTTTAAGAAATAGAATCTAATATTTTAAATTTATATTATTCAATCTTTTGTTGCAGACACATCTAAAGATACCATTTTAGACATTTCAAATGAATTCACAAAGAGGCTAAGAAGTATTTAAGGATAACCATGTGTACCATTTTCTGCCTCTTCTCTCTTCCTCAATAAGTAGAGGCAACAAAGTCACATTAGTATCAAGTAGAGCTTGAGTGTAACTGATAGAATGTCTCATGGTCCAGTTGATCTCCAGCAACTTCTTTGTGTTCCCAGATGATGTCCCCATCTCTAATTTGTACTGTGTTCTGAAATTTGCACCAATAGTCTAATCCATGAAACAGTTGAAAATGTCATGAAACTAGTTATCTCTGCTCTCTTATTTCTAAAACTTTTTTTCATTCTTCAGATTACAAATGAAGCTCTCAGTAATATCCGCACTGTTGCTGGGGTTGGAAAGGAGAAGCAGTTTATTGAAGCATTTGAGACTGAGCTGGAGAAGCCATACAAGACCGCCATCCGGAAAGCAAACGTTTATGGGATCTGCTTTGGTTTTTCCCAGTGCATAGTATTTGTCGCTAATTCTGCTTCCTACAGATATGGAGGCTACTTAATCCCCAATGAGGGGCTCCATTTCAGCTATGTGTTCAGGTGAGGACTGTCTGGCTAAAGTTACAGAAGATCAACACTCTAGGGAAGGATAGTCTGGTTCTGTCCCTTAGCTTTTGCTGCTTAACAAACCATCCCAAACTTGGTGTCTTAAACAGCTGAGGTTTATTATTAAGATTCTGTGGGTTGTCAGGGTGGTGGTCCTTCTGGACTGTGCTGACTCAATCAGGCTTCTGAGTGGCCTTCTGTCTCCATGTGGCCTCTTAGCAGCTGAGCATGTTTTCTTCATGTTATGATCTCAGAGTTCCAAGTGCAAGAGAAGATTGCAAGCCCCAGCGTGCAAGCACTTCCCAAGTCTCTGCATGCATCATGTTTTCTAATATCTCTTGGACCAAAGACAGTGGTCCAAGCCCAGACTTAAAGAGGAATGGAATCTGTCTTTTGACGAGAGCATTCAATACGTGTTTCTCCTTTACTCTCACACTACTCTCATACAACACTCTGACGCCTGATGGATGTCCTATAGTTCAATTTATTCTGATGCTACTTACCTGGAGATGTTGGATCCTCCCACAGATGAAGAGCTCAATCCTATTACACTGCCCTCCCCCAGTCACCCACACACACTGCAAGCCCAGGTTGTCACCTATGCTTCTGACCAACCAGCTGCAGACAAAAGGTTCCCATGACCTCCTCCTTGGGTCTGATTAACATGTTAGAATGGCTCACAGAACTCAGAGGAACATTTTACTCACTAGGTTACCAGCTTATTAGAAAAAGGTATAACTCAGGAACAGCCAGGTAGAAGAGATGCATGGGCACCATATGTGGGAAGGGCTTAGAGCTTTCATACCCTGTCCAGGAGTGCTGCTCTCCCCAAATCTCCACGTGTTCACCAACCCAAAAACTCTGTGAACCCGTCCTTTTGGGTTTTTATGGAGGCTGTATTACATAGCCCTGACTAATGAGATCATTGGCCGATGGTGACTGAACTCCATCTCCAGCCCCTCTCCCCTCCCCTGAGGTCAGGCATGGGGTTCCACCCTCTGATCATGTGGTTGGCTTTCCTGGCAGCAAGGCCCACCCTCAGATTATTAACTAAAGACTTTAGGAAAGTCCCTTCAATAACATAACAAAGGACACCTCCATCTTCTCAAAACTTAGGAAATTCCAGGGGCTTGGGGGCTCTGTGCCAGGAACAGGCAGAAGACAAAATATATATTTCTTATATAAATTGCAGTATCACAGAGGAGTCAAAAAATCAGATTGCAAAGAGGTGCATACGGAGTAATAGGATGAATCAGGCATTTTCATAGTCTACCGCACTGGTGAATGCTGAGAAAGCCTTGGAGGGCATTAGGGAAATCTGTCCCAACAGAAGCCTATTCCCAAACCACAAGTTCTCTCTTCTCACCTTCTATCTTCTTCTAGAAATATAGAAGAAAATTTTTCTCTTGCCCCATTACACCCACCCCAACCAGGAAAGTCTCTTTTCTCAATTTTTGTATATTTACAGCTGTCAACCCAAACCAGAAATCACAAACTGTTGACTTGTTTAGCTTATGTAAAATTTTTGAAGAATAATTTGCCACGATGTATAAATTGGGGGATGACAGAAAACTCCGGATTTTCTGGCTTCTCTTTAAAAACTGAAAGATGACCTTCCATCATTTCCCATTTTTTTCCAGGTGCTTTTCATTGCTTTAAGCTTTGAACTGGATCCTTGGAGATGTTTGGGATGGCAAGTCTAGCCTAAAATGATTTCTGCTTGTGAACTGAGCAGTAAAACAAAGGCCCTGCCTCCCCCAACCCCCGCCGCCACCGCCGTCACCGAAGCAGGCCTCTGTGCGTGGTTGTGCGGACAATGTTGGAGGGCGCCCTTACTGCATAGTCTATACAGAAGGGCTGCTTCTTACCATGTTTATCATTCATTTGTTCACTCACTCATTTGCTTATTAATTATGAACATATTGAGGCTGGGACAAGTAGAAGGTTCCAGGCAATCTCATCTTTCTCAAGCTGTCGGAAACATGAACTGCATGCATGCTTGGTACAGAATTGATGCTCATATTACCAATCACTGTCTTTCACTCATCATAGATTCATAGAATGTTAATGTAAAAATTCAGCCCAATCTGGTAATCTTTCAAACTCCCCTCTTTTTCCCCCAAAGTCATCTTTTTTTCCCCTCAATTTTTTTAAAAAAAGGCTATTGTAGTTGAAGCAGGGTTTGTAGGTCTGAGCCCCCCTTGTTCAATCTTCCCCTCCTCCTTTCTTCTTAGAACACTATCTGAAAACTGCTAATCTCTCCAACCTCCCATTCCAGACAGTCTGAAGTGACCTGCTTAAGGCTGTTCAGTCCCCTCCTAGCAGAACTGGGGCAGGACCCCAAATTCCTGCCTCTTAAGCCATCACACCAACCACACCACAACCATCTCTACCCGGATGTCTGTCCCATTGCAGGGTGATCTCTTCAGTTGTACTGAGTGCAACAGCTCTTGGAAGAGCCTCCTCTTATACCCCGAGTTATGCCAAAGCTAAAATCTCAGCTGCACGCTTTTTTCAACTGCTGGACAGACGACCCACAATCAAGGTATACAGTAGTGCTGGTGAAAAATGGGTAAGTACTGAGGTGGGGGTAGGAGGGCAGTGGGGGAGGGTTGTGCTTCTGTGTGTGTGTGTAGAACAGATGTTGGGGCTGGTTATTCAATACCACTTAGCTTCTAAATTCTGCAGTACATGGGTTCATTCATAAGCACTCAGAAAGGACAGACAGTAGTTTTATCAGTGTACAGGAATGAGGTACATTAGCATTAAAAATTATTCAGAAAGCAGGCATTTAAATAAGGCAGTGATATCCAGTGAATGCTAAATTGTGTAATATAAAACACACTTAGTTCTGAAATGAATGAAGCTATAGCAACTGCCATGATTTCTACTGATGTTCTGGTAAGGAAGGTAGAAAAACCAGTTTTTCTTGTCCAGAAATAACTGATTTAATTCATGTTTATCTGGGTTCAAGTTTTAGCTCTTGTGGACCCCCAGAAAATTAATTTGATCTCACTGAAATATCACTTTTTTCTAATTGATAGTCCCTTAAGGTGTTTTTAAATCTTCCCTGACTAATTTTTAATATTCCCAGTATGTTTAAAAGATCAAAACAAACCCAAACTTTAGTAAAGTTAACTGAATTCAAAAATCTTTTTAAATTGGTCAAATGACCTACTTCTCCTTCAGCTCAATAAAAGTTAAGTCCCTGTGTGGTTTATTAAATTTCTATCCATTTCTAGAGCTCACACTTCAGAGAGTACAACTGGAGGTATTCACCTTTGCAGGACAGGGATCGAGTAACTTTCTGTCTAAGTCATTTCAAGGGCAATGCTATTATTTTAAATCTTTGGGGGAACAGAGCTGTTGGAGTTTGCAGAGTTACTGGCTTCTGTGATGTAACCATATCTTCTAGCTGGTCTCTTCCATTGCAAATGTCAAAGAATGTATGTCAAGGAAATCCCCTTAGGTGAGAATGGGAATAAGAGATCAAATATCTTTAAATTCACTGCTCAAACCTCCCTTTATTCTGCATCTGCTAGAATAAGGAATAGAATGCCATTTCATTAAACTGCTGTCTTTATACTTTGCACTTTGGTAGCATGGAGTTGAAGGTATCTTAAGCAGGATTTAAAACTCTGATTTAAGTGCATTTTTGATATTCAGTATTCTAGTAGGAGCTTATATAATTCTAATCTCCCTGTCCACAGGACAACTTCCAGGGGCAGATTGACTTTGTTGACTGTAAATTTACATATCCTTCCCGACCTGATGTCCAAGTTCTGAATGGTCTGTCAGTGTCTGTTAGTCCAGGGCAAACGCTGGCATTTGTTGGAAGCAGTGGATGTGGCAAAAGCACCAGTATTCAGCTGCTGGAACGTTTCTATGATCCTGACCAAGGGAAGGTGGTAAGCAATGCAAACGCTTTTGAGAATTATGCTTTCTGCGGAGTGTCGCCAACCCCTCACGGTGCTCTTCAAGATTGTACCTTGCCTGACTCACTCCAAACCGCTTGTCTTGGACACTTACCCCATGACTATTTTCCAGTTCCAGTCATTTGTTGGTTGACCTGATTCTACCTCCCAGTTTCTAACATTATATTCTCCCTAGTTCCAGATGGCCGGCTGACCAGTTAGGCAAAGAAAACTGCCAAGCTGGAGATGAGTATATTTAACAGAAGCATTCACTTATCTATAAATGGAGCAGAAAGTGCAGACTAATCAGGAAACTAATGACAGGGCACAGAAAAAATGGGGGTGATAAGAAACCCAGTGATAAATGAGTAAGAAAGGGAATTTAGTGTGAAAAATCGGAGACAATCCTGGTTCAAAAAGCTAAAGTCTAAATAATATAAGGAAATCAAACTGGTAGTCATGTGGCATAAATCTTCGGAAAAGATATTTGAAAAATTGGTGGTTGGCTTTGTTGCTTGTTTTCCACAGCATTTCTTTCTCTTTTCTCTTCTTTTCTTTTTCCTTTCTGTCCTTCCAAATAATATATGTGGAGGAGTACAAAATAGATTTAGGAAGATTTGCAATAAAAAGCAACTCCTTATTCCACCCTGGCCCCAATTTTTCTTCTCAGTGGCCACCATTTCAAACCACTTGATGTTTTTAGATCTCCCAGTGATTACCTCAATGCCTGTAAATAATATGCTTATGCTGCTATTTCACGACTTAACAAATTTAGACTCTGTTGACTTATTCTCAAGAGGTGGAAATTTATCTTACCCTCTCCACACCCCCTCCTTTCACCCATCTCTTCCCAATATAGATATGTCACTTTGAAAACGTCTTCTGTTCATAAATTTAACCAATACACTTCTGTTTCTTTTCTGTCACCTATAGATAATACCTCTTGAATTCTCATTTTCTAAGATGAGAATATTCACAATTCTACCTTTGTTTTCGTCCCTTCCTCCCACTTTTTACCTCTCAAGTCCTATTAACTACACTTTTATATTCTCAAGAATATAAAATGCTTACCTTTTGTTTATAACAATTATTATCTTTCATGCTTTCACTCTCGGCTCCTAAAAGTTGAAAATCTATTAACAACTTTTATCATGATTATGTAAATATTGTTCATCCCATGGTCAAGTAGTGAAGTATAATAGCATTGCATTTTCTTTCTTGATGTTTTTCTAAAAGACTTTTTTCTTTTCTTGCATTCTCTGCCTTTATAAAATCTTTAGGTTCTTCCGGTGTCTCTATCCTGATACCTATTAAGAGGAACCTGCTTCTTTCTCTTATTTTGCACAATCTATGCCTGCTGAACAATTGTCACCCTGTGAATTCCCTGCAATATCTTCTGGATTAGATCTGTTATTTCCTAGTTCTCATAACTTGCTCTTTCTTTAGTTTCCCCTCTCATTTTGTTGGAGTGCATCTGCAAGTAGTTTTCTAAGAAATGATTCAGAGGTGTGGGTCTGAAAATGTTTTATTCTGCTCCACACTTGATTGTTTAACCCTAATCTTCTGTAAAAGGCTTTTCTGATATCCCTGGATAGTATAATCTTCATTGTAATGAGGATAGATTAATATTATGAGGAGAAATGCTGAGAGAAACTTGAAAGAGGCAACTAAAGTTTCCCTTGCATAAAGCAAAGGAAGGAAACAAGCAGACAGAAAAGGGTAGAATCCAGGAAATTATGAAAATAAGGAGTAATAGTTGATTATCTGTAGTTTATAATCACTTCTGTTATTAATTTTAGGTATAGAGATTTTAACTTGTTTGAAAGTATTTGGTGATTGACAAACTTAGAAAGTACATCGCACTGAGGGTTTGATCTCTACAAAAGAGAGGCTCCAGTTTCCCTGAATGTCAGATCTTTCATGTCTATCACCCAGGTAGACTGTGAACTATATGACATGCAGAGACCCAAAACTTTCATGTTTGACTTCTTCAACATTAACATATATATTAAGTATATTTCTCTAAATGTGCTCAGTGAATGTTCTGGTCACAGGTAAGAAGCAATGCCTATGAAGAAGTCAGTATGATTCCTTGCATTTCATAGACGTGATGTATTTTGTTATATATCATTATGAAACATTTCTGCAAACTTTTGTCAGTAGGAAAAATACTACCTTTAATGCAATTTTTAAAAATCCTCTTTGCTCTTGAGAAAGCTAGCAAATGCAGGCATTCATTTTCAACATTTCATTGGATACCTCTTGATGTGCCCAGCACTGCGTTAGGCCCTGTGGGAAGTTCTAAGGAGCATGAAGTATGTCTTCTGTCTCTGCGGAGCTTACAATACTGTCACACATCCAACAAATAGCAAACACTCCCAGTGTTTAATTCAGTACCAAATTGTGCTCTGCAGTCTATAAGTACTATGGAAAATGAAGAGAGGAAAATGAGTAAGGGTTGATTGTTGAGGAATGCTTTATATTTTTTCTAATAGTTTGCTTTTTACAGTGCCAAAAAAGTAACTAAAATACAGTCTGTTCACTCCATTTAATGTAATCTTTTTCTGAAATCATGGGGCCAAATGTTAGACATTTGGTACCTTTACTTTGCTAAAGCTTTTAAGTGAAAGAGCTCAAATGGTAGATATTTGAGTTCCTATTCTTAAATGCCAAATAGACCATAAGTTCCTAGAAAACAGAGATAATTTTGTCTTTATGTAGCATACAGGAGACTGCCTAGCGTGGTACCTTCATGGCAGGTAATTCAATATATGTTTGTTGGTTGGCTAGGTAAATAAATGTACTCCTTTCTTTCTTGGGTCTGCTACCTTAATTATTCAGAAGTTAGTATCAGTGAAATCAAGGAAACGGATTGGATTCTTACATTGTCCAATAACTTTTCATAGGAAACCCCTATTTCATAACCCATGGAGTCTAAAAATTGAGCAAATCTGCATTCTTGTATAGGATATGCTGCACCAAAGGATAAGTGGAAAAAAATAATTTATGTACTGTCCTGAGTGCCTTTCTCATTTCTACCATGTGCAGAGCTAGAGTTTGGGAAACAAACAAACAAAACTGTGTCTGATCACAACTTTGACACCACTTCTGACAGGCACTGCCCTCCAGAGGTCAGAGGCAACATGCTTTATTTCCAAGAGTCCTGGGATTGTTGTCTCTTAAGCAAAGCAAATGTCCAACGTAACTAATTCTAGAATACGAACTTTCCTCTGCTGGAATTCTAAAACTCAGTGCCCTGGTTGTCACCTCTGTTGGCAGATGATAGACGGACATGACAGCAAAAACGTAAACGTCCAGTTTCTCCGCTCAAACATTGGAATTGTTTCCCAGGAACCAGTGTTGTTTGCCTGTAGCATAATGGACAATATCAAATACGGGGACACCACCAGAGAAATCCCTGTGGAGAAAGTCATAGAGGCCGCAAAGCAGGCTCAGCTGCACGACTTTGTCATGTCACTCCCAGAGGTGGGTGCCAGGTCAGGATGGTTCCCTTTGGGAGATGGGGTGGAGAGAGGAAGGACAACCGAAAAGTATTGTGATTGTGGCTCAAGGAGAAGGTCAAAGGCAATACTACTTGCTTCCTGGTGCCCTGGGATTGTCTCAGTCTTTTAAGAAAAATAAATGTCCTTCATCGATATATTCTTTCGTTCTGGAAAGTAGAATATTATCCAACGCAAAGGGTGCTATAGAACTTGTTATGCATAAAGCAGTCCTGCATTGAGCATCAGCTTAGCATCGTGGGAAAAAGTCCTGAGATTTGGAGCAGACATTGATTTGAATCCAAGCTCTGCCACTCTATCCTAGTGTAAAGTTACTTCTGTAACTTGGGACACTTACTTTTCTGTCACTCAGTCATCTGCAAAATGCAAAAAATAACTCAGAATGGGAGAATACACCTAATAGCCACACAAAGAAAGCTGCTGCTGTCATTACTGTCCTCACCATCATTTCGTTACTCGGGCAGCAACTACTGTGCATTGAGGGGTAAGTTGTACCTGCCTTGGAGTCT